CATCCATATCTGCATAGCCATAATTCATAAATTGTAATTCGTTTACACTCGTATAGATGCTTGCAATTCGTTCATACCAGGGAAACAATTTGTTAGTTGTCTCGTATCCTTCCTGATATTTTACTAGATCGTCATGGATAACTGTTGGTTGAGATAATCTTGTTTTTACTGTGCAAGATTCTAGAAGAAAGAGATTTAATATAATAAAATAATGAATAAATTCATATGCAGCAATTCGAAGTAAGTAGTCTAACTTCAAATGAAACTATTTTAAAAAATAAGATCTCGAAGTACAAATATTAGAAAACGTATGCTAAACATAAAAAGGTGTAAGATTTTTGTGTCCATTTCGAAAACAATGTAAATATACAGTCTTATCAAAATCTTTGACGTGCAGTTTTTTAATTTTCCAGTCTAATTGTACAACTAGTTAATTTAACTAGAGTTTAAAACGTTACGAAATTGGTACTCTATCGTATCTGTGTATCATATATTTAAGAAAAATATTGATTGTCAATTTATTTTGTCACACAAATTATTATTTATTAATAGAGAATAATAATTTTAAACTGATCCAATACTAGTACAAGACGTTGATAAATAATTATAAGTTGAAACTGACAAAGAGATTTAATTGAGTTCCATATTAATAAAAGAATACAATAAAAAATAGATTCGATGTATAGTATATCATACGTTGTGGTCAGCGGAATAGTTTAGAAAAAAATCTAGTATCAGTGAAAAAGAATGTTAATCAAATGATTTTTATCATGGCTTACCAACAGAGGACTTAGAAAATATTATATTCAGTTTCGCTTCTTATATCGGAACTATAGTATGCTCATCTCCAAGAACAGTATATCTCACTAAAAAGAAATGATAGGATATAAAAAATGAATACTAATAATGATTAAACAATATCTTGGAAGTCTTATATAAGAGCAAATCATCTGTGCGAGTGACTTACGTGCAGGAATTCCTTTCCAATGAGTATTTAGTGGTAATTGATCATTTTTCATTATCAGTGTCCCAGGATAAAGACGATTGTTACCTATCAGTTTGCAGCCTGGCATTACAATTGAACCACTCATAAGTATACATGAATTACCGATGGATACAGGAGCTAGTTTTAAAATACGTTGTTCGAAACTGTGACCCTGAAAAGATTTAGAAAAATAGTTATATGTAAAAGTAAATTACAAAAAACTTATGTATTACCTGTATCTGTGTACCCATATTAAGTCGAACATTATCTTCAATAGTCATCAAATGATAATCGGTAATACTGGATATATCTGGGATTATAGTATTCTCACCAATATGAGCACCATATGCTCGAAATAGTCGAATGAGCCATTGTGTATTACCAAGAAATGGACAAATAAATTGTTCATAATCTTGACTCATTCTTGCTATTATTTGTTGTATAGTTTGATGGCGTATGCGTGAAGGACATCGATAAAGGCCACAGACAAGTATTGTATGAATGATTGATCCACCAACAAGACCACCAAACGAATAAATGCTTAATAAAAGACATTTGCTAACATAATGAGACAAGCATGTATGCCAAAATGGTATGATTTCAATCTGATCTTGTATTTTTGGCCTGGGAGGCATTTGAAATGGCATTGTACGAGCTGGAACACCAATGAAAACTTCTCCGTATTTGCTTTTTGTCTCTCGTGAGATGCGTGTTAAATTCCCAATCATGGTCTCAGATTCAAGACAACTACCAGGCAAGATTGAACATCCATTCGCAAGGTTTGTATGAGATCCGAGTACTATTTGATCTACACGATGATCACCTGAGGGTGTCAATTCAGTAGGAACTATTGAAACTCCACCAAAAGTAGTAACACCTATTTCGAGTTTTAACAGATTTGTTGGACAGGAAAGAAAAGTGTCTATCTCAGCGATTTTGACATTTTCTTTGATATGAGCACCTAGCCAATGAAGAACATAAGGATAAAGATAATCGTAGGTAGTCGATAATAACCAAGCATGATGAAAACTAGATACAATTAATTGACGAAGCCATATTTTTTGTAGATATAATCTAGATGCTATCGGATATATTTCGCCAGCAGTACATGGCCCTACTTTGAATTTCAAGAGGAGAAGAGAAATAAAACAACCAATAATTGACCATAAAGTCCAACAAAAAGCAATACTGATTAATAGTGGTATTTGCCCAATTGAATAAACTTTATAGACGAGAATCAAAAGTGTATAATGAATACAGATTATCGAGATGATCATAGTAATTTGGTAGATCTTATGCCATATGGAGAATGATCTGTTGCTCTGCACAACGGAGATGTCTGACGGACGCGATTTGTGTTCTTCACCATCGACAACCATTTCAGATGCGACGAAGCCAGTGACTGACGACATTGGTTGAACAATAATATTATTTTGCATATCAACTCCATCAAATAGAATGGATCGTGTACCGATTGAACAATTAGATCCAATTCTAATTGGACTCAGATTAAAAGTGCCATCATCGTTGAAATATAAACAGTTCAGATACGTCTCATTAGCAATCCAACTTCCTTCATCAATTTCTAACAACCATGGAGCATCAATAGTTGTGGTATAAATATGTGTGTTAAGACTAATATGCACGCCGCAAAGACGAAGATAATAATTGTAGAATGGTGTACCAAGTATATGCTTCAACCAAAATGTGTTATTCTTCCAAAGTCGATCCAAAAACCACCATCGGTAATAATTCCAAGAGAAAAGATTATCAGTTTTGATGTGACGTGGTGAGAATAGACGTGAGCAGATGACATAGAATAAAAGATGAAGTGTTGATAAGACTGGGAAAAGGAATGGGCACCATCGATGAATTATTATAATTGGCCATAACCATTGACAAATAAGAAATACAATACCAACAGATTCTATAACTAACGAAGGTGAAAAACGAACATGTGTCTCATGAGATTGATTGGTTGTGGACACTGTCTCTTGTGGTGCATCCAAAATCAATAAAGGTTCAATAGCTTGTGCTAATTGTCGAATAGATGGATTAGTAAGTAGCAAACGAATATCAGCCTCTTTACATATCTCTCGACGTATCAATGTAAGGGCATGCATCATGTCTAAAGATGTTCCACCCAATTGATTAAACGAAGTGTCGACAGCAGCAGATTCAACACGAAATATTTGGCTAAAAATATCTTGTAATTGTTGTTCAAGTCTGGTAAGAGGTAAATTAATGTTATCATCAGAACTTGAAGTCGAAAAGCTAGGTGGTGGAAGACGTTTTCGATCAATTTTTCCATTTGCATTGAGAGGAAAACTATCGAGAATGATGAAGAGTGATGGAATCATATGCGCTGGAAGATGAGACTGGCAATGCTGTTGAAGTTGTTCTTCACTTATACTAAAACTCTTTTCTTCGACATAAGCGACAAGATAGTCATTGTTGCACTGTACTACTTTGACAACAATACACATTGCGGCAATACTCATAATCACAGATTCAATTTCACTTAATTCAATACGTTGTCCTCGAAGCTTCACTTGGTAGTCTTCTCTACCACCGTACTCAAGACAACGGGTTTTGGGATTGAAATATCCTAAGTCTCCCGTCTTATAGCAGAGTTCATTATTGATTTGACACATGACTTGTGCCGTTAACTCATTTCGATTACGATAACCGACGAACACACCAGCCCCTAAATAAGCATTGGAAGAATGTGAACAATTTACTCAATTGCGTTTGTGTAGAAAATGACTCACCTCCAATAATAATTTCACCCATGTGCATGCCTGGTACAATGAGTTGAAGGTACTTGTCGACGACATATATGTAAACATTTGCCATGGGCTGTCCCAGCGGTATAGAACCACGAGCAAGGTCATCTTCTGTTATTAAATGTTCAACTGCTGCTTCTGTACATTCAGTAGG